TCCCTGTCAAGTGGGTGCTCTGTCCTGGATGTTATTGAGCTTCTTGAGTATTGTTGGAATGGCATGCATCCGGGCAAGTGGGGAGTATTCCATCACTCTCCTGACTCATGCCTCATAGATGGTGGACAGGTTTTAGGGAGTCAGGAGGTAAGTTACTCGCATTATTCCTACTCTCTGACTTGCTGCTGTATTTGGAACGTGAGTGCAGTTGTGTTTCTTCCTCATGATGTTGATAGTAGGGGATTCTGTGATGGTACAGCCATTGAATTCAAGGGATGGTGGTTAGATTGACCATTTCCAATAAGAGATGTTGCCTACCATTTGCACGTCATGAACATTACCTGCCAGTCATCAGCCCGAGTGAATAGAGTCACTTGAAGAAAAGGCAATGTACTCCATGAATAATGATGAAATAGCAAGGTGAAATTGCAATACCTAAGAATCCTTGTGGCGTTAATGTTCAATATGTTCTTCCTCATTTTCATGCATGTGCTTGCCTTTTTTTTCCCTCCTTGTTTACTTTTTCTCAGTGATATTGTATTAAAAAGATTTTTAAAAAAAGTGCTGCATGGCAGATCTTTGTTTCAAATTTCAATACTCCAGTGTTGTAGTTATGAAACTGCCTGTTCTTATCCACTTGCATACTGTGATTTTAAATAGTTCATGTCTCTCAGTATTCAGGGTACATGTTAAAGAGCAGTTAGTCATTACCATTTGTTTCTTTAACTTTAGCGTCATCTGCCAAAATGGGCCTTATCGAAGTTACCAGAGGGCTTCTTCCAGGTGCTGGTGAGTTACTTTGTGCACTACATAAAATGAAAGACTTAAAATAAAGTGGATGGTGTTTGAAAACTGGGTGTACTTTTGTATCTCAAGTAATAAACATGGCAATGACTTCCACTCCATTGGTTGCATTTTGTAAAAGCAGGCCTCAGTTGTTTATAACTGACCAGGTAATAGTTTCACGTTTTATTTACCTGAGCACGGGCGAATCTTGGTTAATTCTGAGGTGGATGGTGTCATATTGAATCATATAATTACAGTGCTTTGCTTTGGGCTTCACCATTTGGGTGCAAAGCCCCCCTCCCTTCCCCATCACCAATCACGTCCAAATATTGAGACAACCAAATTTCAAGATCCATGACTATAATTTCCACCTAAAGCTAATTAGAAATCCTTGCAACAACAGAGCATAAATATAGTTAAGCCCTACCACCACCCAATTTACTGCACTGTTGGGATTCTAAGGCAGTATTCTGTCATTTTAACACTTTGGCATTGGTGAGGGGGGAGATAATGTTTCTGTAGAGTCTAATCCTAATTCTTCAGAAAAATTTTGAAGACTATACCATCGAATGCAGTTGCAATGGCAGGAAGTGGTCTACGCAGATACACGTCAACACAGAGTGGTGTTGTGAAGGCAGAGAGATTGATGTATTATTTGGTGATTAGCCATTATAGCAAATCATTTTCAATCATTTTTTTTAACTTGAGAGTGGTTGGGAGATGAATGGAATTGGTGGCACAGGTATATCTTTTATATGGATGTTTCAATTATAGAGTAAAAGTTAGATTCTGACTTAGAACTAACAACCTTCAAGTAAAGTAGCCTAATTAAGATGCAGCTGCCTGATAGATAACCACTACTATCAGCCACCCTGGAAGCCTTTGCTTGACTAAGGTGTTGATTACTTTCGCAAGTTAAAGCAGGTCACTGTGAAGAGGAACTTTGCCTGAGTGAGACAAAGACCAAGTGTATACATCTGGGAATTTGATTCAAAGTGGAAATTTGGTAGAGGAGAGGGAAAGAGGTGCTTTAAGTAAGGTCTGCTGCAAAAGGTAACGTGAGCTGGGTGGGACAAAATGTTGTCTTCTATCTCAGTAAGTTCATTGTTTGGTAAGAGACTGTTAGTTTAATTTGCTGTAAATTAGTAAAGCATACTATTTCTAAAAAAAGTAGCTATGCTTGGAAAGTAGGTTGAGCGTGTACTCATTGGGATCTAGAAAAATGAGGCAACCTTATTGAAAAAAGCTTCTTGGGAAACTTAACAGGATGGATGCAGAGATATTGTTTCCCATTGTAAGAGTCTTGGGGCAGAGGGCATAAACTCCGTGTGAGGGTTACTTCATCAAGACAGAGATGAGGAGGAATTTCTTCTCCCAGAAGGTGGTGAGTTTGAGGAGCTTATTCCACAGAGGGCTGTCAAAGCTGGGTTGTTAAGTGTGTTATGGCTGACATAGACTGATGTTTAATCAGTTAGAGCATACAGTTTTGTGGAGAAAAGGCAAAAGGTGGAGTTGAATACTATCAAATAACCATGATCTCATTGAATAGCAAAACAGACTTGATTAGCCGAATGGCTTTCTTCTGCTCCTGTATCTTACGGCCTTATGGAATAAGGGAAAGCTAGGGCCAATATAAGTAATTCCAAGCAGAATAAAGTTAATCCTAGAGAAGTAAAGATATGGCAGGGAATCTTTGAGTGAAATGTTTGGCCTATGATGTGTAGGATGTCATGGACCCCGCTGCAATTGTTAATGACCACATGCAGGAAGGATGCAGAAATGGCTGGAGCCACTGCATATCTGTGAGGCTGAGTATCAAGTGGGTAGTATGTTCAGAGAACTGGTCATACTGTAGTTTAAGAATCTGGTGGCAGAATGGAATGGGTGACCACTAGGCAGATACAGCAGGAATCATATTCCATTTTGTAAGCTGGTTAGGATGCTTGATTCCACAAAGGAATGCAGTCAGAGCCACGTTTGGGAAACGTGAATGGCTCAGCCTTGGAGGAGAAGAGGATGAAGAAAGGAAGAGTGATAGGGCTAAGGATTTTATTAGTTGAGAAAACAGACAGGTAGTTCTGTGGCAGTAGACGTGAGTCCAGGATGGTTTGTTGCCTCCCAGCGGCGGTGGTCAAGGACGTCATAGAGTGGCTGCAGGCCATTCTTGGACTATATGACATAGGAGCAGAATTGGGCAATTCGGCTCAGAGTCTGCTCCACTTTAATCATGGATGATATGTTTCTCAACCCCATTCACTGCCTTCTCCCCATAAACCTTGACCCCTTTATAAATCAAGAACCTAGCTTTCTCTATCTTTTAGGAGAGGGTGAACAACCTAAGGTTATACCAACGACTTGGGCAGAAAGGGGAATGTGGTCCTAAAATCAGAATTTCAGAAGCTAAGTATAAATGAGAAAAACAGGACCTCAAACATAGTTAAAGCAAAATATTGTGGATGCTTGAAATTAGAAGAAATTTCGTATTGGACTCAAAGCGTAAATTCTGTTTCTCCACAGATACTGCCAGATCAGCTGAGTTTCTGCAGCATTTTCTGTGCTTGTCTCAAATGTAGTCATCTCCAGATTACTCCTCCCAGTGCCATGTGCAAGAGAGTACAGAGATAGGAGGATAATTAGGAGGAATGTGGGGCTGGGAAGATGGTGCAGGAAGACATGCTTTAGATTCCTGGGACACCAGGACTGGCTCTGGTTCTGACACTTGTACAAGACTGACACATTGTACTGGAACAGAGCTAGGACTGAGTTCCTTGAGCTCATGCTACTGGGAAGGCTTTAATCCAACTTGGCAGGGGTTTTAGAACTAAAGGAAAATGGTAGCGAAGACTACCGGGGTTCACAAAATGCTTGGAGAGAGACTGCTAGTACTGGCATACAGAAAATTAATAGTTAAATTGGAGTAAGGGAGGAAGTAATTAAGTCTAAGTCAGAGTTATTATGTATGCATGTATGTGAATGCACAGATTGTGGAGTTACAGGAGTGGTTTGCCATGTGGAAAGATGATGTGGTGATCAGAAATCTGGCTGAAGGTAGGGCAAGACTGTGTTCAATATTCCTGGGTACAAATTCTTTCCTATCTTTTCTGAAAGGAGGAGAGGTAGCAGTATTGGTAGACAAGGATATTGTAGTGCTGGAGAATGTCTTGGAGGTTTCAAAGGCAGAAGGGGAGGTGATAGCCTAGGGGTATTATCGCTGGACTGTTAATCCAAAGACTCGGATAATGTTCTGGGGAGCAGGGTTCGAATCCCTCCACGGTAGATGGTGGAATTTGAATTCACTAAATATCTGGAATTAAGAGTGTAATGATGACCATGAATCCATTGTCAGTTTTTGGAAAAACCCATCTGGTTCACTAATGCCCTTTAGGGAAGGAAACTGCCATCCTTACTTGGTCTGGTCTGCATGCGACTCCAGACCCATAGCAATGTAGTTGGCTCTTAACTGCCTTCTGGGCAATTAGGGATGGGCAATAAATGCTGCCTAGCCAGCGATGCCCTCTTCCTGTGAATGAATAAAGGAATTTGTCTGGAACTAAGGATCAGAAAGGGTGTGATTACATTGCTCAGTGTAGTCTATAGACCACCATCAAGTGGGAAGAATGTGGAAGAATAAATCTGCAGGGAAGTTGAGATGTCAATATTATAGAGTAGTTTAATGGAGGACTTTACTGGAAAAAAACACTACAGATAGTTCAGTCCAGGGGACAGAGTGGAGCAAATGTACCTAGAATATGTCCAGAAGAATTTCCAGCAGTATACATCCAGTCCAATAAGAGGCACCGTTGGACCTGGTTCTTGGAAGTAAGGTTGGTTAAATGGGTCAAGAGACAGTAGGGTAACATTTAGGAGACAATGATCATTGTATCATAAAGTTTAGGGTGATGGTAGAAAATGATTGGTCAGTAAGAAAAATCGGTTGGCGGAGAGCTGATTTCAATGGGGCAAGAACAGATTTAGGTTGGATGGACTGAAACAAGATCGGCAGGAAAATATGTAAATTAGCAATCTTCAAAGAGGAGATGGTTTGTATACTGTTAAAGTATGTTCCCTCAAAAGGAAAAGGTAGGAGCAACAAATCAAGAGTGCTCTGGATGACAAAGAAGATAGAAATTAAGATGAAAAAGTATGCTTATGACAGATGTTAGATTGAAAATACAAGTAGTGAAGCAAGAACACAGAAGTTTCAACCGGGAGGTGAAAAAGCATATTGGAAAAGCAAAGAGGAATTATGAGAAAAGACACACAGCCAGCATGAAAGGAAATCCTGAAGACTTTCTTGGCATACAGGTAGTTCTGCTGTAACGTGTTTTTCATTAACCTGAATTGGCTGTAATGTGATTGATGAATAGTGGACGCTGTTTGGATAACACGAACTTTCCTCTGTACTAGTATAGCAATTTTTCTGTAGCGATTTCCCTATAATGTGATTTTCTATAGCTTGAAGTCACGCAAGAACACAACTATTGCATTATAGGAGAACTACCCGTACAAATAGTGAGAGTGGTAAAAGGCAGCTTAGGACTGATTGGGGCCAGAAAGAAGATTCATATATGGAGGTAGATGCCATGGCTGAGGCATTAAGTACTTTACATCAGTGATTACTAAAGAAGTAAATGCCACCCAGGTTAGATCATAGTGACAGGGTAGGAAACTAGTGCCGGTTTTAAATGTGATAAGGAGGAAGTGTTAGAGTGTTGATTCTTAAAGTTGACACAGCACCAGGCCTAGATGAGATGCAACCAAGAATACTGAAAGAAGCAAGAGTGGAAATTGCAGAGTCATTGGCCATAATCACCGTGGTGCCAGAAGACTGGATAATTGTTGTGCTCAAAAATAGTTGTAAACAATTGCAGACCAGTCAGTTCAGCTTCAATGGTGTACAAACTTCTGGAAACAATTATTTGGGACCAAATTAATAGTTACATGGGAAAAGATATGCTAATTAGGAAGAGCAGCATGGATTTCTAAAAGGGAAATCATATTGAACTAACTTGCTGGACTTTTTTTTTTTGAAGAAGTAACAGAAATGGTCAATGAAAGAAACACTGATATTGTGCACATGTCCAGAGGGCCCTTGATATTAACCCATACACAGATTTGAGAAAAATTATAACTCATGGAATAAAAAGAAAAGTAGTAATTTTGGATACAAAATTGGCTGAATGTGAAGGAATAGTAAAATGAGTCACACTCCAGATCTGATCCCTTGATTCTGATGCCAGATCCAGAATTTTCACTCCACTTTAGCTAATGCTTTCAGGTACGTAACTCTCTGAAATTTGCATCACAGGTAGACCAGCTAGTTAGCAAGGCATTTAGCATCCTTGCTTTCACAACTCGGACCTTTTGAGTATAGGAATTGGGATGTGATGTTGCGCTTGTACGACATTTGGGTTTCTTCTGGAGTACTGCACAATTCTGATCACCCTGTTGTAGAAAGGATATTACTGAACTGGAGAGGGTTCAAAAAGATTTGCCAGTATGTTGTCGGATTGAGTTATAAAAATAGGCTGTGACTTTTTTCCGCTGGAGCATGGGAGGTTGAGGGGTGACCTTTATAGAAGTTTATAAAATCATGAGGGGCATAAATAAGGTAAATAGAAAAGTTTTTTTTTTCCTAAGGTGAGGCGGGCGGGGGGTTCAAAACTAAAGGGCATATCTTTAAGGTGAAAGGAGAAAGATTTTAAAAAAGACATGAGGCAGCTTTTTTAGATAGTGATTTGTGTATGGAATGAACAGCCACAGGAAGTGGTGGATGCAGGTACAGTTACAACATTCAAAAGACATTTGGATAAGAACATGAATAGGAAAGGTTTGGAGGGATATGGGCCAAACACAGGCAGGTGGGACTAATTCAGGTTTGGGAACTAGTTGGAAGAGACGAAAACAGAAATTGCTGGAAGAGATCAGCAGTTGGACAGCATCTTTGGAGAGAAATCAGAGCTAATAGTTTGGGTTAAGTGACCCTTCCTCAGAGTTCTGATGCTGCCAGACCTGCTGAACTGTTCCAGCAATTTCTGTTTTTGTCTGTATGGCGACATTGTACATTTTTCACGTGTACTCAAGTACAGGAGTACAATGACAATAAAACCTAAATCTTCTCTAATTTCAGTTACTTTCTTCCCCCTTTTGAGTCTGCTTTGCCCTGTTCACTGAGAGACGTTTTACCTGGGAGCTTGAGCTTCCTGCAGTTAATCAACTGGAGGGAGGGTTATTAATTAACTAAATTTAAATAAAGTACTAAGTTATAGAAACAGTCCTCCAAAGCAGTGGGCGAATTAGAGGTCACAGACTAAAAACATTAACTTTGTTTCCCTCTCCACACTTGCAGCCTTTCCTGCTAAGCATTTCCAGCATTTTTGTTTTACTTTATTTTTTCTTTATTCATTCATGGGATGAGGGCATCGCTGGCCAGGCAGCATTTATTGCCCATCCCTAATTGCCAAGAGGGCAGTTCAGACTCAACCACATTGCTGTGGATCTGGAGTCACATGTAGGCCAGACAAGGTAAGGATGGCAGTTTCCTTCCCTAAAGGACATTAGTGAACCAGATGGGTTTTTCCAACAATCGACCAATGGGTTCATGGTTATCATTAGATTCTTAATGCCAGATATTTTATTGAATTCAAATTCCACCATCTGCCCTGGCAGGATTCGAACCTGGCTCCCCAGAGCATTATCTGGGTCTCTGGATTAACAGTCCAGCGATACCACTAGGCCATTGCCTCCCCTTTGGAAGCATAATAGTGTTGACCGAATTGAGAAGTAATATGGTATATTTAAAATTCTTGCGAACATTTATAGCTCGGATTGTGGGTGAGATTGTTGGTTTGCTCACCAAGCTGGCTGGTTATCGTACAGACGTTTTGTCACCATACTAGATCACATCATCAGTGCGGCCTCCGATTAAAGCAATGTTGTTCTACTCCACTTCGTGTTTATAATGATCTGGTCTGTTAAGTTCCAGTTCTGTTCTGCAGGGGTTTGAATATGGGGTCTAATTCCACGTATTTGTTGATTCTGTAACGGGTTGACAAGCAGGCCTGTTGGAATTCCCATGCGTGTCTGCAGTATATTTAAAAGTAATACCTGAATGCTGTACAAAGGCATGACTGTTTAGTGGTGTAGGAAATACATGCCGGACATGTTTTATTCTATAAGTAGACAGAAATAAGTTACATATTGCACAAGTCAGCCATGTGGATAAACTAAAATTGTAATTATTAACAAATGAAATTTTAGTATAACCAAACTTGGCCTAAAATGTGATAACTACTCGACTTTTTAATTCCCATTTTCAAGGTGGTAGTCAACGGCTGCCTCGAACTGTAGGAATCGGCCTGGCAAAGGAACTTATTTTCACTGGTCGACAGATAGATGGCGAACAAGCAATGTCAATCGGCCTGGTGAATAATGCTGTGCGTCAAAATGATTTGGGGGATGCAGCTTATCAAAAAGCACTGGATCTGGCCAAAGAGATACTGCCACAGGTTTGTAAATAACAGTTTGAGGACTTTGTCACCAAAAAATTAAATATCTGTTAAACACACATGGGAAACTTGACTAAACAGTGGATGATTCAGAGAAATTGATTATTGAAATGTATAATTGTTAAGAGGGTGAGGTGTTGTTGGTAATAAATAATTGGAATACAGCCCATTTTTTGTCTATAAATATTTGAGCATTATGACTCGCACACTTTTTTCTTTCTGCTTAATCTTAAAGGGTCCAGTAGCTCTCAGGATGGCAAAGCAGGCAATGAACAGAGGCATTGAGGTAATGTGCTAGATGTGTTATTGACGTACTTGTATAAGATCGATATATAGTGTAACTGTGATCAGTAAGAATTAATCACTGTGATGGAACCTGCCAACTGACACCTGCCACTTTACCTTCTGCCTGAAATGGGCAAACAGCTGACTAGCAGTTTTTAAGAAAGCCCCAATAGTTTTAAAAGCCATTAGGCCTCCAAAGAGGGTTCACAATTACCAGCTGCCCTCACAGATAATGAGGATTGGCCCTTTATCACTGATTTTTTTTTTCTCCTAGTTGAAGATTCTATACTTAAAAACATCTACAAGCTTCTTTGTTGCTTCAGCACAGTGCAAAGGCATAAGAAACAGGGTTCTAAATTTGATCCTTGTTTCATATATTAGCTGATCTCAGTTGGTGCAAGTTTTAAGTGGAGGGCAAATTTAAAAGAATGAATTGTACTTTGCAACAGGAGCAAGAACCAGTCCAAGATTAGGCCTAGTTATAAAATTAAAAAGAGTTGTTTCTTCTAATTCAAACAATGCAAATAACCTTTTGAGCACTTGAAAGGCTGAAGGAAAGAATAGTTGAAGTTTTCTTGGTGGAATAGTTAAGTGAAGCTGTTTTTCCCGAGTTTGTGACAGTGTTAACTAATTTACAGGATGGTTTAGTGACAGGCCAATTATTGCTGATCTTTGATGTGCTCATAAAGGATGAAATTAAATGAGCACAATGAAGCCTAATAAAAGAACAAGCCAAGTTGACAGAAACCAATCAATTCCTTTATTCATTCACGGGAAGAGGGCAGCGCTGGCTAGGCAGTATTTATTGCCCGTCCTTAATTGCCCAGAGGGCAGTTAAGAGCCAACCACATTGCTGTGCGTTTGGAGTCATATGTAGGCCAGGTAAGGATGGCAGTTTCCTTCCCTAAAAGGACATTAGTGAACCAGATGGGTTTTTCCAACATTCAACAACGGATTCTTGGTCATTTAGACTTTTAATTGCAGATATTTATTGAATTCAAATTGCACCATCTGCCATGGCAGGATTCGAACCCAGGTCCCCAGAACATTATCTGGGTCTCTGGAGTAACAGTCATGCAATAATACCAGTAGGTCATCACTTCCATCAATGTTGAGAAGCTTTGATCATTGAACAAGCCTGAATGCCTGTCGACTCTTCATGACTAAGAAAAAAATTTCAGTTACTTGATCATCATCACCTAGTATTAGTCTTAAAGTAACAAGTCTGTTTTGTACAATGCTTTTTATAGTCTTCAAATAAGTAAATTAGTTAAAATGCTTTAAGTTTAGTCACAAGCATGGCAGTTTCCATTAAAGTGAAGCAATCCCACAATCAACAGACTGGTTTTAAGCTTTCTAGCCTTGCCAGTCAGTTGTGAATGGAGGTCAGCAATTAAACAACCTGCCGGAGGAGTTTCTGCAAATATTCTCCCTATCCTGCCTTCCCCCAATAATTAGGGAACTGAGGGCAACAGTGCAAAAGACAAGGCTGAACCATTTGCGTCCCCATCTTCAGCCACAGGGTGGAATAGATAATCCATCTCCTCTTCCTCCAGAGGTCCCCAGCATCAGATGCTAGCTTTCAGAAGATTTGATTCTTCTACTCAATGAAGAAATGGCTGCAAGCATTATGAACAGCATACCAGCAATAGTTCTGAAAACCTATGCTTCAGAATTAGCTGCACCCCTAGCCAAGCTATTCCATTTAGATGCCAGCATGGTAACTAATACGGAATATTTCCTAGGTACATCCTGTCAACAAAAGAGGACAAATTAAATATTGATGATTACTACCTGATCAGTCAATCCTCAATAATCCATAAAATGAAGGAAGGTGTTGCTGACAGTACTATCAAGCACTACTTAAAATTTTTTAAGATTTGTAGCTGGTGTTGTGGATGAGGTTGTAGACTTGCTCGCTGAGCCGGTGTGTTTGATTGCAGACATTTTGTCACCCTGCTCGGTAACGTAGTCAGTTCCTCTCCGGTGAAGCATTGGTATTCTGTCTTGTTCTGTTCTTTATTTATATGCCTCAGTTTGTTGGGGTGGTTGGCATCACTTCCACTTGTTTTCCAGTGGTTTGTTGATGGAATTCCAGGCCTCCAGGAATCCTCTGGCATGTCTATTTGGCTTGTGCTATTATGGATGTGTTTTCCCAGTCAAATTAGTGTTCTTTGTTTGTATTGAGACCAGTGCGAATTGGTCCTGTCTCTTGGGGGCTAGATGATGTTAGTGTATCCATATTATCAGTTTTGTTCCACTTTGGGCCATGTAATGTTTCTCACTGTCCTTGCATGGTATTTTGTATATTATTGGTTGTGGGCATGCGATCCTTTACATCGTAATCTTACGGGCAAATAAAAGACACATGACAGTAATCCTTACAGCCCAATACATTCAAAGCTAATGCACTACTAGCAGATACTGATACCTACCAACAGATGGCAATAGACCCAACACCACTGTAAGAGAACAGGATGACGACAACCCTGAAGAAATTACACAACCCAGGAGATATCAGCAAGACAGACTACCAAAACATGAAGCTAGAGGATCCAACATACCCTGCTTCCATGGACTCCCTAAAAGAGGTACACAAGCCAGTAGTCCCCTCAGACCCATTGTCTGTCTACCAGGCACACCGACATAGACCAGCTGAAATACTGAGTTGACAACACTACCCACTTCATCCACTCCTCCCAAGAATTCCTCAACATAGAGAACACCAGAAAAGAAGAGGATGAGATAATGATATCCTTTGACACAACAGCACTATTTACATCCATAAAACAATTGACCTAGCCAAAGGGACAGTTGCCACACTGCTGGACAAAATCAGGAAGGTAGGCACCCCACGACACCAATTGCATCAACAAGGACAACATCCTGAAACTGCTCGATCTGTACCTCACAACCCATTTCACCTTGAACAACCGTATATTCAAAAGGATCAACGGAACACCCAGTGGGATCCCTAATATCAGGGCTGATTGCAGAAGCGGTAATACAAAGGTTAGAACGAACAGCACTCCCCACTATACAGTCCAAACTCTGGGTCCGCTACGTAGATGACACCTTTTGGTGATTATCAAATCCATAAGACTGGAAGAAACCCACCAACATATAAACATCCTCACTGGAATAAAATTCACTAAAGAAGAGAATAACAACTGACTACCTGTCCCAGACATAAAATTGTAGAATGTAGGAACAATGGGGAACTCCAGACTAGCATTTACAGAAAAGACACACATACAGACCAGATATGTAATTACACCAGCATCCACCTGAACAACCATAAACGGAGCTGCATTAGGACATTATTCAAAACGAGCCTCAACACACTGCAGCAACCTAGAATTGCACAAAGCAGAACAGGAGCACTTATACGGAGCTTTTAAAAGGAATGGATACCCAAAAAGCACAATCTGCTGTTAAGTCTGCACAGACCACAACAAGAAGATACAACAGTCACCCTATTGTACATCAGAGGCATCTCAGATGACCACAAGACTACTCTGACCCCTAGGTATCAGGGTAGCCCACAAACTAACAACCATCCTGCGACAGCTACTGATGAACATAAAGAATGCAATATCCACAACTAATAGAACTAATGTAATATACAAAATACCATGCAACAACTGTGAGGAACATTACATTGGCTAAAATGGAAGAAAACTGGCCCTGAGGATACGCGAACAATGACTAGCCACCAAGAAAGACAACCAATTCTCACTGGTCTCAATACACACTGACAAAGACACTAATTTGACTGGACAGAGACATGCCAGGGAATTCCTGGAGGCCTGCCATTCCACCCAGAACTCCATCAACAAACACACTGAACTGGACCCAATATACAATCCACTGAAAAACAGAAATGGAAGTGATACCAGCAAACCAAAGTGTATAAGTAACAAGCAGGACAGAACACCAACACTTCACTGGTGGCACACTGATGATATTACCTAGCAGTGTGACAAAATGTCTGCAATCAAACACACACCCTGGCCAGCAAGTCTATAACGTCAGCAATACCTAACAGTAACCTGCTCACAGACTGTAGGCCTGGAGAAACTCCAACTCAGCTCCTGCCCTATTTCAGCTTTGGGCGAAACATGGATAAAAGAGCTGAACTCCAGACATGAAGGGTGACTGCTCTTAACAACAAAGTAGTATTTGAACAAGTGTGGCATCAAGGTAACCTAACAAAACTAGAATCAATAGGATGAGTGCAGTTGAAACAGCAAGGGGTTACCTCATACAAGATACAAAGGAAGATGGGTTGTGGTGGTTTAGGCCATGGGACATCACTACAGACACTCCTCAGGTTGTCTCCTATTCCCAGCTACTTCAATGACTTTCCCTTCATCATAAGGTCAGATCTGGGGTCGGTGGTGTAATCAGCAGTGTTCAGCAGCATTTGAGATTTTTGTATACCAGCAATCAGAGTCTAAATGCAGCATGACCTGTATAACTTTCAGGCTTATCCTAATATGGGACAAATAACACTTATGCCATTCGTGAGCCAAAGAATAACTAACTATCTCCAATGAGAGAGACATTCAATGACATTATTGTTGCTATATTCCCCACTATCCATGTCCTTGAGGGTTAAATGACTACAAATTGAGCTGGACTATGCAGGAGTACTATGGCAAAAGTGTAAGCCAGATGCTGGCAATTCTGTCTATCATCCACAAAGCCTGGATGAGTAAAGCTCCAGCACCGCTTAAAGCCCACTTTTTTTGACATCCCATTCACCACCTTCAGTATTCACTATTTACTAGATGCACTGCAACAATTACCAAGACTCCTTAGGCAGCACCTACTTCTACAGCCTCTACCACCTAGATAAACAACTTCCCCTCCAAGCCTTACACCACACAGACTTAGAATTATATTCCTGCTCCTTCAGTGTCAATGAGTCAAAACCTCAGAATTCCATTCCTAACAGTGCTGTTGGTGTAGCTATCTTTGACTTGTACAACTTATTTATTTGCTGGCTGAAAACTGAAATAGCTACTCTATTGTATTTTTAAACTTGTATACAATTGTCTTGGAGGGACAAATTTGTTTTTAAATTAACAATAATTCCCATACAAGCTGTACAGAATACCAATAACTCATACAAGAGGTTACAAAGGTCACAATTCAAACTGAGTACTAAAATTTATTTGTATCTATTTTAGAAAATGTCTGAGACACAAACATGAAAAATAAGCCACTAGATGAGAAAGTGAAGCCACCATTTGGGGAAATTTAGATTGGACAAGTTAGAATTCAAATAAGTTGAAATACTACAGAGGAGATGAGCTTGATGTGCCAAATATTTTCCTTGAAATGATAATGCCAGTATTTAGTCAAAAATTGAAAGTAAAATCAGTGAAAATAAAGGTAGGATTATAATTTTAAATAAGTCAGTTGTTCAAAAGTAAAGAACAAGAATTTTAAGGTTAGTTTTATTTTCTACTTCTAATTTAAAGCAATATTACCCTTCCCATTTTAAAGATTATTTCTAAACCCCTGCAGGTAGATATTGCATCAGGAATGGCAATTGAAGGAATGTGTTATGCTCAGGTATGTTGATCTTGCTACTTTTTAAAAAATGGTTACTACTATATTAAATAAATGCTTTAGAAACTGAAATATTTTGATAAGACAATTGCACATTTTGCAAATACAGGTTATTCCTACAAAAGACCGTTTGGAGGGGATGGCAGCATTTAAAGAAAAACGACTACCACGTTTTATTGGAGAATAATGAAATGACCAGTCTGACATCTGAGATGCACATCATATCCTCTACGTGCAAACAACAGTTACAGAATTGCTTAAGTACTGAACTTTTACAAACCATATGAAGGATACTGAATTTTTCACATGGTTTCACATCATTTGTAGTCCCAGTTGCATCTCGACTAATGTTTTCACTGTCATTTAAGAGGGAATTATAGTTTAAAAATGAATGCTGTTAGTAATTTGAATTGTCCCAGTGACGAATACATCAGAAGGTAGTAATCCTGTATACTGCACTATTTGAATCGTACTTCCACATGACCCTGATTAAATATTTGGTCTGCTGCTGCTTTTTGCTGTGTTGATTTTTCCATATTGCTTGTTAATTTGTTTTACTTATTATCCTGTAAATAAAACAGCTATTTTGACTCAGAAATTACTTCATTTGAAGCAGAGTGCTTAACAGCAGTGCAATGTTTCAAACTCTTGTATTTAAGAATAAATCCATTAAAAACAATTAGCAGTTCCTTAGTAAATTCTAAGTCAGTATTAAAACAAACTAATTATCTTTCAAAATCAGAAAACTGACAGCATTATCACAAACATTACACGAGTTATGGTTTTGGAAAATACTTTGATCATGTGAAATCACTGATTACTATAGATGACTCCAGCATTGATTTCAACTGCTTACTATATTAGTAAAGTTTGCTTTTTTCAGTCATTGTATTAAAATCTAAAGTTGTCTGTTAAATCAGATTAGCAAATCTTTAATATTTGTATACTGACAACTGTCCTGTGTTTTCACATAGGATGCTGCCTCATACAATTACAATTACAGTACAAAATGAGCCTTTCTACACAGTGCTCCTATCAACAATATGTCCACTAACCCATAAGATACTGTAAATACCTATGTGGCAACAGCAGTGTGTAAAAAGTTGTAGAACTGGATTGAAGGATAGCTGGTATAATCTGTAATTTGTACTGCTAGCACATCATGTCTGGTAATTCCTGCTGTAAAAGTAATACATACAAATTGTAAAATGAGCACACTAAGCTGCATTTTAAAGATGCTGTTCATGCTTAAGCTGCCAGTATTTGGTCCTAGGCTCATATCAACAGAAGCACAGACAATGGACATCATCATCTACCAAGACCAGAAGAGAACTAGTGAGAACAGGAACAAAATCAATTTCTGTATGGTTGTAAATCATTGCAGAAAACTAACATTATAAAATCTCACCATGCTATGCTACGTGGAAAGAACAACTTACATTTCTGTCAGTGTGGATAAATGTCGAGGAAACACCCAGATGTGGTAGGCAGCATAGAGAAAAGAATGAAAAAAAAAAAAAACATGGCAATATGGTGAATAAAAAATATCCCAGATGTTTAGCAAGGGAATTTTAACAGCTGGGGCCGAAGTGGTTAACAGTTGTAACAAGAGAGTGGTTTCTGGGAATAGTCATATTGGGAAGAATGTGGCCAAAGGTGAGATTTAACCACAAAAGCTAACTTCAAAATTTGGTACATTGGAAGTTAGTGAAATCAGGGGTCATATTCTTGCATGCCCAAAACAGCATCAGTGCAGCGGAGATTTGGATGAGCAAGTTTCAGTCGAGTTAAGACACAAGAACTGATGCAGTGTGTCCTTCTGATGAAGATACGGAGAATGGAAATTCAGTTCAGCATTGAGAAAAAGAGGCACAATGTGAACATTATGGTTCAGACAAAGAGGAGGAGTCAGATGCAGTCAGTCAGTGACAAGCATATAGAATGCTAGAGTATATTAGGCGGTTTCTGAATGTTGATTAAGCAGACTGACAAGACCAAGGCAAATGGAGTCAAGACAACTATACCATCATCCATGTGAAATAGAATCCCTACAGTGTGGAAACAGGCCCTTCGGCCCAACAAGTCCACACTGACCCTCAGAGCATCCCACCCAGACCTATTCCCCAAACCCACCTAATCTACACATCCCTGAACACTATGGACAATTTAGCACAGCCAATCCACCGAGCCTGCACATCTTTGGACTGTGGGAGGAAACCGGAGCACCCGGAGGAAACCCACACAGACAGTTGCCCAAGGGGGAATGGAACCCAGGCCCTGGCGCTGTGAGGCAGCAGTGCTAACCACTGAGCTGCCATGCCTTTTCCAACTGTTGCAAACAAATTTCTTAAGGAGCATGCTTTTCTCTTGTCACCACTGAAATAACATGAGGAGGCGAGTATCCCATCACCTGGTCACCCTTCACTTACACATGGAGTGTCCTTGACACTAACCCAGCTTCCCCAGAGCCAGCTCTTGGAGTGAACAGGGTGTCTGACACTCCTGTTCTTAGCTGTCAGCCAGGGCTCCCTGATTGGACCAGGTTAACAGCCCTAATCAGGGAACTCATTCTGAGGTTCACCTGACTGATCTTGTTACAATCACTACAATTAGAATGCCGATTTTCCAAATCTTAGTAGACAGGGGCAACAGGCAGAAATAAGAGAAAGCCACTGCTGGAGATCCTCCACCTTCAAATATTGAAATAAATTGAAGGCTGTTGAGACAAGCTGAACAGAGAGTGGTGGGGTCAACCATATTAAGGACAGTAGTGCTTGAAGGCATAAATAAATCAGGGAATATTGTTTAAGATTTTCATTGCTTTGTTCCCCACCTCTAGGTGGTGACAAAAGCTCTCAAACTGGACAGGAAATATTTTCTGAGATAGTAGGAACTGCAGAAATAGTAGGAACTGCAGTTTCTGATGAAGGGTCTAGGCCCGAAACGTCAGCCTCTCTGCTCCTATGATGCTGCTTGGCCTGCTGTGTTCATCCAGCCCTGCACCTTGTTGTCTAGGAAATATTTTCTGCCTGAAATTCTCCCTTGTAAAAGGTGGTGAAAGAATATTTTGATATGAGAGTAGTGTTTTGAAGAAAACGGTAATCATGAAGAGGAATGGGACAGTGAGGAAATGTTACCATTTACACATACTGCAAACTTGAGAGCCAGAACCTGTAATAGAGTTCAGGCTCCCTTCTCTGAATACCTGGTCAAATTTACAAGCTAGCAGTTAATAGAATTGTGATGAGCTTGAACATTTTAAAAAACTAACATGTATGTTTCGGAATATTTTTGGTATTAATTAGGAATATATGACTTACCAGAGCTAGATGTGAGAAACTGACTCCAAAAGAATACTGGAGGAAAGAGTCAAATATCATGGAATCATAGAAGTGTTACAGTACAAGTGTTGGCCAATCGGCCATTTGTGGCAGCAGTAGATGTAGCTCCTTCAGTGACCTGGTCATTTCAATAGAATTTTAGACAGCCTACTCCCTTGCAGGTGGTGTGTTCAATGTGTTTTTCTTGGCTACAATGTAAGACATATGTCTATGTGCAGAACATTACAATTTATTGACACGGAATGACTATGACCCAATATGCCCATGAAAATTTAGCAGTCTCCCAAAAACGATCTGTAAAAGGGAGAGCTAGAAATTTTCATTTAGCCTTAGCCTATGTTATAAAACTCTTTACATTTAGAAGCAGATCCCACCCAAGCATAAGCCATAACAAACAATGAGGGCTCAATGGAATTCAAGACAGGTTGTGTGCATTCACTGGGGTAAGTGTGAGACATTTGTCACGGTAACAACAAAATAACAGTTCCCATAAAAATTAAATTTTAAAAATAGAACAGTGCAAAATCATAATTCTTTTAATAGAATGGTTTTTAAAATGAGGTATTGATGGCAAGAGTCCCTCTGAACAGAAAATCATCTTAAAACCAATGATACATTTATCTGTACAAGCAATAAGACAAACAAAACAAGCATTGATACAAATTGACAATTTCAAATGCCAGTTTGCCCTGAAGGAGTCATCAACATTTCATACAAAATATTTTTAAAAGGAAGTGGAGATCAAATACATTTAAGCTAATCACAGTTCAGCTGTTCTAAACATGGATTTATTCTTTGTAAAGATGATGTAAGAGTGACATCCAGATTAAGTAAACATTTCATCAGCAGCATTTATTCAAGCATCGGCTGCTTCTGGTAGAACGAGACATCTGCAAAGACAAGACCACAAACCACACCAACACTCCCACTGTGATATATTCTTCCTGCACTTAGAATAGCTTATAGAAATGTTTAACAGCAGACAGTTTCAATCAAGGAAATTCTCTTCAGAGTCTTCAGAAAATAAAACAGGTTACACGTTGAAAATCCTCCACCTGTTTGAAAAGTAAATACATATTAATTTGACACTTGTATAAATTTCACTACAGTATTCACTTCCACGTATTGCACAACACTAATGTTGGATCCCAGAATTGGAAGGGTACGTTCTCCCTAGTCCTCACTGCCATCATTGACTAATTTTACAAAATCAATCAACAGAAAGTTGCAAGAATCAGTTATGACGTATTTACTGAAATTTCACCTCAAATATATTGATTTATTTTGCCAATGATACAGTGAACCCCAGTTATCAAACCACAAACAGCAAGGAAATCTACACTAGTACCATCCCAATGTTAAAGTGAAGGGATCTAAACTCAAATCATACTATCACAAGTGTAGTATTCAGTTGGAACATAGCAAGAATCCAAATCGATAGCTACAAAAGTACCAGAGTACATACACTATGTACTGTTCATTTGGAATGCAGCATGCAGCTCCTAGCAACTGCCAAACCAGCAAGATAGAAACACCTGAACACATGAATTACATATCTAGTTTGTTCTTTCTACGAGACTTGGTCCAACTCAGCATTCTAATGCAGGTAACAAGCATTTAACAAGGTAAATAGACAGTTTCCACTTCGATATTCACCTGAGAAGCAGCATTGTTTGCGAGGTGATACAGAGTAACTCGGAGGGGGATAAGAGTATTAGGAAAAGTCTTCCATAAAGTAACACTAAAAGCTTTAAAATCCTAAGTGAATACTTCTCAAGTCTGCTGCAGACAGAACTAAAAACTTTAAAACTTGCCTCCAACTGAAGACCATTCTTAAATACACCCCTGACATGAGGGAGAAGACGACAAAAGGATCAGAAATTAAATTTCAATTGTTTAAATGGAAGCCAAAATGAAAAAAAAAAAGTATAATTGAGAAGTTGAAAAAATGTGAACTTCTAAATAATCGGTGATAACAAGGTGTAGAGCTGGATGAACACAGCAGGCCAAGCAGCATCAGAGGAGCAGGAAAGCTGATGTTTCGGGACGAGACCCTTCTTCAGACCCTTTTTCTGAAGAAGGGTCTAGGCCCGAAACGTCAGC